ACACGCTGCAGAAGGAAGCTTCTCCTGCAGTGTGGGCTACACACAGGTGCAGCAGGTGCTAAATAATTTAAAACAATTTATTTAAAATAAAAATCCCATGCTGATTGTGCAGCTCATCCATCAATCAGCCAATTGTGTATCATGTCCAATCTTACTTTGAAAAACCACGATAGAGCGAGTCCGTGAAAAACGAACCATGAAGTAGCGAGGGACTACTGTACTTGTGCTTGAACAACAAATGAAAAGTTGCTTCAAGGGAAATTTATTCATTTACAATTTTGATGCTTTAATGGCTATTTTAGTAGATGGTCTTGTGACCATCAAATGCTTCAACTGTCCAATTTAAACATTTATTTTTAATTCTCTAATTATTCAAGTCTTACTGTGATGTGTTCTGAAACTATTTCAGTTTTAAAAATAATTTGTGTTTGATTGACTATCAAGTTTGGCTAAGGAGCAAAAATGTTAAAGGTTGCGGGCCTCAGTTTAGTAGACTGAGTGCTCCATAAAAAGTTCATTAAATCTTTACTGTTTCTGAGGGACGAGTTTTTGTCCTGCCATAAAATGCTAACAAGTCTTCAGAGGGAACAAACATTAGCCCAAATGACAAAACATAAAACAAAGTATTAATTAATATTAAAAATCGCACTGAGGTATAAAGAGCTAGATGACTGCGGGGACAAATGTTATGCAGTTCAGATGTGAAAATGTTAAACTCGACTGAAGGGAACTGGGGCAATAATTGAGACGGATTCTCAAAATTCTCATCAAAGTCAACATCAAACACAACACTTGTGTTGGAAACTCCAGTGTGTGTTTTCAGACTTCATAAGATTAAGTACGAGCACCAACTTCAATGTTTATGATTGAAAACTGGATGATTTCCCCTAAAATCGATTGTCATTTTTTCTGTCTAAGAACATGAAGAACCACTGAAGAAGAACTGACGTCCTCCGTTGCTGAGGGACTTGAACAGTGAATGTTTTTAGTTTTTGAGATGAGTGTTTTTCTAGACTGGATTTGAATGGGGAATGCAAGTACACTGTAAAAGTTTGGGTGTAAGATATTCACGTGGGTAGAAGTTACACTGTATGAAAAAGACTAGAGGTATTTTTTTATTTTTTATTTTATTTTATCCACCACCAGGTACCGAGGCGGAGCCAGGGGGTGGCTAATGGTGGCCCTGGACACCATAGATAGGGCTATTCAACTAAATTGCTCAGGGGGCCACATTTACTGGAAGCCAAGAACTCAGCAGCTGGACGTCCAGCAGTTATTCTCATTGTTTGTTTTATGGTTTAAAATCCAGTTTTATTTAAAATGAACCCATTGGTGGACCGAAGTGAGTTCACCCGTGGGCCTGATTTGGCCCCCGGGCCACCAGTTGAATAGCCCTACTTGGCCACCCCTATCATTTGAGGAAACTATACTTTTAAGCAATATAAAAACTATAAAGTATAGTTTCTTCAAATGACTGGGGTGGTCAGTTTACATATAGAGTACATATACACTTTCTTGACAGAGTGCACGTGTAACATCTTTCAGACCTCACAAATCTCTGTATGACTCCAAATTAACTACTTTAAGGAGACGTAAGAAGATATCTATCCATAATTTCTCCACCAAACTCATCCATCCACCTGCTCATCTGATCACTGGACTCTCCCCCTGGAGAGCAAAAACTTTCCCACAATCTCAATTTTCAAACCCTGACTCAAAACTCTCCTCTTTAAACAGGCTTACTCACCTTAGTCTCCTTGTCACATTACCTATAATTAAGTTGTTATGTATAATGCATGATGCATTATTATTATTATTATCATCACCATCATCATTATCATTATAATGATCGTTATTATCATTATAGTGTTGGCCATCTTGGATTTTGACATGACAATCCAATTCTCGATTACGACCTTTCTTACATCTAGATGCAGCCACACACCAAAATGGAAGTCACCATGCTGCTTATTTTTCAAGTTATGAGGCTCACAACATGCACATGTGGACGGTGGATGGATGTTATATCCAATTCCATCTCCTCCATGACGAGGGATAAAGAGGATCTCTACATGAGAATAAAGTCGTGAACAACTAAACCCAGATCGGGTTTGTCTTTGTTCAACAGAGACACCAAGCATGTTGACTTGAATGGTCATTTCTGTAAACGACAAACAAAAAGAGGAGAGAAATCCTTTGCCCACTTCATCACAAACACCTATCTGGACACAAACAGCAGGATTTTATCTGTGGCTCTTAAAGAGACACAAGGGCACGATCGAGCACGGAAGATCTGATGTGTTTACGTGGAAGGCCATTTAAAGATTTTAAGGTGAGGAGAAAGATTTAAAAATCAATATGAAATCTAAAAAAAAAAAAAAAAACACGGGAAGGTAGACAAGCAAGAGTTGATGCAATCAAGCCTTTTAGTCAGAAGAAAAGTTGAGCAGCTGAATACAGGAAACCTTGAGAAAAGTCAATCGTTAATTCTTAAACAATCCTCTTTACGGAGACAACTTTCCTTAGAAACGTATTATTATTATTAAAGGCCTAGCATTACACATGAAGTGCATTTTCATGACAGAGTTTTAAACCATGATGGCCGCCACCTCCACATCTTGCCAAGATATTTTAATGCTCAAGTCTGTGTTACAGATGACTCAGATCCAACCACAATACTTTACCACAATATCTGTCGTTCTGAGTCACCGCCATTTTTGTGTTTCCAAAAGTAGATTAGCTGTGGCGGCCATCTTGAACTGGACCAACTCCAAATGTCCATCGGGTATAGATCTAGAACTAATGCGTACTTTCCAAAAGTTTCATCAATTTCTGTCCAGTGTTTCACGAGATATTCAGTGACCAGACATACGAGGCCACTGATTAAAATGAAAGTTTTAGCCAAAGATCTTGTGCAATGTGTTGCCCTTAATGTGGTTGTTAGGGATGACTCTCAGCTACAACCACATTTTTAGCTCATTATCTGCTAAACTGGCTGATTGATTGGCATTTTTATGTTTCCCAAGTTTTTGGATGTAGCAGCCATCTTAAATTTGGTTAACTCCTAAATGTATTCAGTTGTAGATGAACACACAATTACTAATTTTTCAACGTTTCAATAAAAATACACGCTAGGTTTATCAAATAAATTGTTGACAAATATTATTGATAGAAATAGCTGATGACACAGTTTAAAAAAAAAGATCTCAGTCATTTAACCCTTTGGACATGTGTTACGGATTAGTATCAGCTACTACCACACAGTTTCAGGTCAATACTTGCAAAATCAACTGAGTTATAGCCATTTTTGTGTGTTATGGTGAAAAATGGGAATAACTCCAACAAAATTAAACGTCATAAATGTTCATTTAGGGATTATTTTTTCAGAGATTTATTTGAATTCATCCAGTGTGAGATATTCTAGTAATGGTACATAGGCCTGTCACGATAACAAATTTTGCTGATTGATTAATTGTCTCAGAAATTGCTGCGATAAATTATAATATTGTTTGAAATTTGACAATAATTAGTCATTATTGTCAAATTTAAGAGGAAATGTTTGTTAATTTGCTTTGTGTGTAGTACCGTTTTTCAACCACCGGATGGCAGTATAAGACTGTTTGAACCAAAGGATGGATAGTGAGGGAGTGAGCAGCGTGTCTCTAAGAAAAATGGGAGGGAGGCCCCTTGACGTGACATGGGATGTCTCTCCTACTTTTCTTCGGTTTTCAAAATGTCGGACGCTCATGTGGTTTGAGCTCTTTAGCATAACATTTCTCACACAAAACTTTTAATTAAAAAATCAGTAAGTAAGTTCTCAGATTCTTTTTGCAGAGAAAAACAACTTTTTAGGCAAAGGCACGGGTTTCAACCGTGAATTTTGGAGCTTCGACAAGACGTTTGTTTTTTTCCCCGAGGTCAGCCTGTTAGCTTAGCTCGTAGCTTATCATCTCAGCTTAGCTGCTTTTAACCACCCAAAAAACATGATTTTGGATGTTTAAAACAGATTTTAAAACAAAAAGAGAAAGGGAGGGATCAGTGAAGAGCGCCGGAGTTGAGCTTTTTGTCTTCCAGTGTCTTCAGTAGAAAGAGAGAGACATGAAGAAACAATAATGCCAATAAATTCAAATGTATAATTGTCATTTATCATGTGATTAATTGATTTATTGTTTGTCACGATAGGCCTAATGGTACAGACAAACAGACACCGAAACACACAGACATATGCAAAAAAAAAAAAAAAAAAAAAAAGTTGGTCTGCTTTTGCAAGTTTGAATACATTTAGTTATTCACCTATAGTTATATAAGGCATCGTTTAAAAAAAAAAATATTTGTGGATAAACAATGGTAAGTTTAAAACTGAAAAAATAACAAAGGCTAGGAAACTCAAGAATTTGTGACTAAACTAGTCTGAGTCAGCATGCATATTTGCTTTTAAGTGTAAAACATTCAAACAAAACAAACATTTTAGTACAAAAAAAATTGCAGGTAAAAAACACACCTGCCTTTACTCAGTCTGAAGGCATTTAGAGCTCCAGCTCTGAGTCTGTGGAGATTCTACTTAATGGATGCAAATCAGAACTTGGGACTAACAGAGAAACAGCACCATCTGAGAAATATCTATCACCCCTTTAGGCTTTAATCTGAGACTCTCCAACTTCTTCTCTATATTCAGTATCTCGACTCTCCCATCATCTAATAGTATCTTGTACCTGACTACAGCTCTGCTGGCACATAGCCAGGTGGCTTTGAATCTTCCAGACAAGGACAGGGTGCAGAATTTCAATAATTCAAGATGCGTGGGTGCCCAGAACGCCCACTCAGCACAAGTCTTATAACGTTCTCAATTGAACAAGATGGCACAGAGGCCACTGAATAAACACTTTGCTTTTCTTTTTTCTCCCTCCTTTTTTTATGTGTAGCCAGACAGATGGTCACAAAGCAAAAATAACAAATGGATGGGAACAATGGAGAAGAAAATAACTATTTTTCACTCCTACCTGCACTACCAAGATGACCATGCCTATAGTTCCCAGCAGATGCTTGTTATCATCCAGCCATTCTTCCACTTTCTCAAAGCAACCCTGCAACACAACAAAGATTTGTAAAAAAAACTGCAAAAATAAAGAATAGGATCACAGACGCAGAGGTTTTTTTTGTTTTTTTTGGTTCGCTGCTGTTGAGTCACCTGGAGAAAGTCAACCATCTAGTTCACATTACTTCTAAAAAGAGAATTTAATCATTTTGATATAAACTGTCTGAAGAATAAATGTTAGATAAGGCGTTGAAACAAGCTCAAAACTCCCCAAAAGTGGCGTTTTATGCAAACTTGTGGAACGCATTAACAGGCTTGTGAAGGTGAGGTATTTAACTTGGTTTCAGGCACAAAGTGGTGCTCCTGTCTGAGCATGAATGCTCAAGCAGCACATAGACTTAACTAAACACCACATGACTCTCTCCTCTGGGCAGGATTACACACAAGCTTTCAATGATGAGGTTTCCCAGCGGACCAGCTCATTGTCTGCCTATTCTCATCCTGGCAATTGCATTGTAGCTTTTAATCCTCCACATTGGACCTTCTAACAAACCGCACGCTACGCCAATAACAAATTAAAGTTGTAAAACTGTGGTGACACTGTGAACACAATGATGCATATTTCGTTTGAGTAAAAAAAAAACCTTGTGGTTAGAATTGTGCTAAATAAGGGACATTTTAAGCTTGTTTTAATGTGCAAAGCTTAAATAACCCTCCTGAGAAGATGGACCAAAGTTAAACTAGATGTTTAATTTTTTAAGTCCCATTTGTTTCATTCAATAACAATGGTGTCTCAGAAGAATTCAGTTATAACTGAAAGTAATGTATATTCACTTTAAAGTAGACATGAGACAATATCACCATTGCAGTACAACATGTTTTATTATCAAAGTAATAAAGTTGAAAACTATATATAGTAATGCAGATAACCAACCTTACAATTGGAAAACCAAAACACACAAACTGATTAAAAAACATTAACTATGTATATATATTTTTTTGTTTTAAAAGTTGTTTTTATTATTTGTGGTATAGATGCAATTTATTTGGATCTTTTTGTGCCTCTATTAGGCTGTTTTGTATTTTATGCTTCATATGTTTTTATAATTATTTAAAGCCTGAAGTTGTTTTGTCTGTTCTGGGCAATTTTTTGCATTCTTTCACTTTGGGTTAGAGGATCCCGTCTGGCATTTTGTTTCTTTGCATCTGTTTGTGTTAGTTTTGTGGCTTTTGACTAACTTAAACTTTGTTGTGGCTGTCCTCCACAGGTCCATTCATGACTCACTCCAGAGCTGAAAACATGCCACTGTTACAAACTAGGTCTTCAATTTAAGATGAACAACATCCGTCATATCGTCTTATTTTTTGCAGAAAACTGTAACCCAAAGTAACTGTTTTCATTATAACTGTAATAGTCAAGGGGAGCAGTGCATATATAAAGTAATCGCAGTATAAATTAATATATACAGTAGTCCCTCGCTACTTCACGGTTTGACTTTTGCGGACTCACTCTTTCGTGGATTTTCAAACTAAGATAGGACATGACACACAATCAGCTGATTGATGGATGAGCCATAGATTGCTTATTAAAAATAAATTATTTTAAATGCTTTAGCACCTGCTAAATCATTAAGTCCAGGGAGAAGCTCCCTCCCTCTGCAGCCTGTCATGATCTCCACTCTCTGCCACCCACATATTTCTGCTCCGTGCTGCAGCAGCTTCGCGAAGGGTTAACCCTTTGCTGTCCAGCTGCACCGATCGACTTTTGTCTTCCAACTTAAAATTCAAAGTGTCACATTGCAAAAACATCATAATCACAAAAATTAACGTGTTAAAAGTTATTTTTTTATTATTTTAGAACTTCTATGTTCAGTTGTTTCAGTGCACAAGATCAAGAAGTACATTTCAGCTCCGGGCTGCTGCTACATGAAGGGTTAACCCTTTACTGTCCTGCTGCGCTTCTCTACAATTTAAACTGGAATATTTTAAATAAACAATCCATGCTGAATGGATTGTTTATTTAAATGTCACAGTAATTAAATTTAAATTGTTTATTTACACAGAAGGACTCTGCTGCTGTAGCCCACCTGCTTCATGGCAGTTTAAAGATGATCAGCAGATCTTGGCTGTAATCTGTGGTAGTTTGAACTACTGTTGTCTTTCGATCGTGTTGAATCAGTTTTCCCTCTGACCTCTGACATTAATACAGCACTTTGGCCAACGGAGTTGTTTTAAAGTGCTTTATAAATAAAGTTGTATTGTATTGTATTGTATTGTATTGTATAAATAAGGAACTTTTGTCTACGCAACAGGCCCTCACTGGATATTTTCTTTATTTCAGACCTAGAAACGGTTGTGCATGAAATCCAGGCAGAACTGCAATTTCTGAATTACTCACACCGGTCTGCCTGGCATCAATTACAATGCCATGTTCAAAATCACTTAAATCCCATTCGTTACCCAATCTGATGCTCAGTTTGAACTTCATTAAGTTGTTTAAACCATGCCTGGATGCCTAAATACTGTATATTCGGTTGATCAAGATATTTGTGTTAACAAGCGATATCACATGTGTATATATTATTACATTTGAATTCACGTTATAATCAACTCACTCTGTTCCAGAACATGTTGGTAGAGTTGCGCCCACAGTTTTGATAATGCTCCTGGCAGCAGCGGTCAGGAACTACTTTCTCCTTCAGGGCCTCATGCCAGTCGGTGTATGCTATTACGCCGCAACACTTCCACTGAGGATGATAGAACAGCAGGAACACAGTTAATGCTTCTCCACAGTCCAGACAGACCTCTAATTAATTTAAGGTACAAACATTTCCTGTTATTCATCTTGCTTACAGAGGACTAAAGCAAAGGACTGATGCTAGTTTAGGGTTTTATTGTCACATTAATGTTACAGTAACAAGCCTGGAAGTACATCACCTGGAACATTTCAGTGTAGAACTTCACATCTGGGTGATTAAACATTCATGCTCAGAGTGATGCAATGTCTACCAACCTCTGCCTGGATGATGTTCCATGCATTTCGCAGGCCTATGTTATTTTCTGAGTTGTAGAGAGCCAGCCCATCCTTCAGGTCCTGCTTAGCGTTCTCACTCACCTGGAGATAAAGAGAAAGCATTAGCCTTCATTAGCGACCTTATTTTAAAGTGGTTGGCTCAGCAAGAGCAGCCATTTGAGTAATAGCATTCTTTAGAGCCTTTATGCGGTCTAAAGGCTGGAGAAGACATCGTAAGCTCGAGTGTTTGTAGCTCTGCATTCACGTTTTGCTTCTTTTCAAAACGACATCTTTTTCACGCAAACACGTCTGATAATGTCATTGTCCATGCTGTGCAGTGAGGGCTTTTAGGAGGCTGCGTGTGACTGTTTATGCATTTACGCTTTCTTTCCTCATGAATCGACTAATGATGTTGAGTCAAACATCATAAGTGTTTGCCTGAGTTCTGTAAGGAGACAAAACATCTGTGGGAACAAAACCGCAGCCGCTAAACAACTTGGTTCCAAGAAAATGGGTAAAGAAAAAGTCTTGTCTGTAATTTGATTTTTGGGTAATTTAACACAGTGTTTTGGCAAAAATAGAAATAAAAACAAGCATTTTAGTTCTGTAATATGCATGCATCATTCAGTTTGGTACTTTTTAATGGTTGCTCACACACATTTGTGACGGGGTTTTGACCATGAGGCAGCAGGAGCTGAGCGAAAATCTTCTGTTTGCGCCTTTTGAGGTAATCCTTCAAGGTGCGTAAAGGTTCATTATCCAAGGCATTCTCTTCTCATCCCTTTAGGTGCAGGTGTGATGGTAGCTTACAAAATTCACTGGTATTTAACTTAATCCATTTTCCCCTTCCAGGCACATTTCCAACACCTCCAGTGCTTGACAGATGGAAAAGACGTCGTTTTTTTTTAAATATTTTTCTCCAAAACATACTTTTGTTGCTCACTGCAGCAAAAATGTTCCATTTAAAATTGATCAGGTTGCAATATTCTTTTCAATCTAAATCAAATTTAATAAGCTCTTCCCCATCAAACATTGATTGAAAACATTGTCTTGTGTGGATGCAGGAAGGCTGACCCTCTCCTGATCATGAAATGAATGTTTTACAGTATCTGTTCATGTCTGAGCAGCAAACCACAACTCCTGCAACCTCTGAATTTTACAAAGTGTTGAAAAAAATATAGACTTTTAGTTTCCCCTGTCTTGAAGGCCAACGAGCAGTCATCTTATAGCTATAGTAAGTTTTCTGTTTGCACGACCTCATCCTGACCTACATGGTCTTTTAAGTTGTGTTACAAACTGGAGACACAGATAACTGAAAATGCTTGACATGATTACCTGGCAGTAAAAGATGAAAGTCAGAGTAATCATTTTTTTGACTGAGTCCTTGTTTCACTGTTTATACAATTGCCACAACGACAGAAAAGACTTTCAGGAAGTTATCAATAGGCTGACATCTATGACTCCAAACCCAATGTAACATGACATAACAAAAAAAACGAAGTCCAGATGACATGATTCAACCTTTTTTGTTGTTATATACCTGGATGACTGAGAAAACAAACTTTATGTTTTTGAAACCATTAGTGAAAAGGCCAGACTTCAGGGGTATCTGAGGCAGGCTTGAAACACAAGAGTTAGGGTGCCTTCTGGGTAATACCAGATGGCTAGGCCTCAGACTGACGAAGCCTCTTGGATGAGGGGCGAAACGTTTCTTTTTAACAAAAAAAAACGAAGTCCAGATGACATGATTCAACCTTTTTTGTTGTTATATACCTGGATGACTGAGAAAACAAACTTTATGCCAATGTAACATGGTTACCACAGCCAACTGACCTTAGGAAACACGAACATGACTTTAACCAGTCATTAAATATTGAGCTACAATCTGGTGTGGTAGTAGCTGAGCACAGTCTCCAGCACGTCTTTCTTTAAAACCCTGGAATGAACTGCAGGATTCAGTCTTGTTTGTCTGCTAACAAAACGTCCCATAAACCACTGAATGGATTTTGATTAATTTCTCAGAAAGTAATATTTGGATGCACAACTAAAACCAATGAACCTTTGGAGTCAGTCCTGTTTCAGATGGTTACCGCAGCTAATCAACACAAAAATAGTGATCCCTCAGTTACAGCTACAAATTGACATGGGGGTAATTGCAGTAATTCCCAACACATACTCCATGTGCTAACAGATCAAGCTCAGGAGATTGCACAAAACAGTTTGACCAAAATAGCAGTGACGATGTCATCATTGAACATAGGATGATGTTGGTGTAAAACTCTGGCATGAAAGGATATGCATTTCTTCAAAGAATGTTAGAATTTAACTTAACTTTAACTTGAACTTAAACTTTAGCTTTACCTTCCAGTTAAGGCAGATAAGGTTAAGTCTATGTTGACCAGCTGTGACCTTGAAAAAATAGACCATGCATTTGTTACAACCTGACTAGACTACTTATTAACCTTTATTTAACCAGGAAAATCCCACTGAGATCACACATCTCTTTTGCAAGGGAGGCCTGGGCCTAAAGGCAGCCTAACATACATGTTTTTAGTCTGTGGGAGGAAACTGGAGTACCCGGAGAAAACCCACACAAGCACGAGAAGAACATGCAAACTCCACACAGAAAGACCCCAGGTCCGATCGGAGGTTGAACCCAGGACCTTCTTGCTGTGAGGCAATAGTGCTAACTACTGAGCCATCGCGCTGCTGTAATGTTCATGTTGGGGTCAGTCAGGTGTCCTTTTCACGTCTCCAACTCGTTCAAAATGCTGCGGCTCAGCTCTCAACAGGAACTCATATGAATGAGCATATTTCACCAGTTCTGCCCTCCCTTCACTGGCTCTCTGCGCATCAGAATAGATTTTAAAATTCTCCTGTTGACATTTAAGTGCATAAATGGCCTTGCACCCTCATACCTCTCTGACCTCCTTCAATCATATGTTCCTTCTTGGGCGATGATTGATTTGGTTGTATCAAAAATCATACTTAAGCTCAGAGGAAATTAGACTTTTTCAGTCGTGGGGCCTAAACTCTGCAACAATCTGCCCCCCCAACATTAGACAGACCACTTCACTCCCTGCTTTTAAATCTTTCCTAAAAACGCACCCGTTTTCACTGACGTTTAACACAGTGTGACTGGATTTAGCATTTCATTGATTCTCGTCGTTTTTGTGTTATTATGTTTTTATTTTGATGCTTTTAATTACATTTTGTTATAATTTAATTTACTGCCTTGATCTTACTGTTAAGCACTTTGGTAACAGCTGCGGTTTTAAATGTGCTTTATAAATAAATTTGACTTGACTTTTAATTGCTAAAGTGTTAGGCAGCTGCTTAGTGTATCCATGGCTTAGGGTTGAGGAGGCAAAGTTCTAATCTTGAAATTTGCAATACTTGACTATCCTAGCAACAGACTGAACAATATTTTAGAGAATTTTTGTATATTTTTTCTTATATTTTGACTGAGAACATCTTTCCCTCCTGCTTCTGTAATACGTGCCCAAAACGTTCTCCTATCACGCCCTGAAGGCCGGCTCACCGACTCACTGCCTCACTGGTGTTGACGCCATGAGAACATGCCTAAAACATTCTCTTATCTCCTTCTGGAGGCCGACTAGCCGACGGCCATGGATCATGTCTGTGCGTCCGACTGCAGCTGGTTATGAGGGAACGCCTGCTGGACTCTGCTGCTGTAGAAACATTTGCATTGGACGCTCATTCTGTGACACGTTCCATGAATTATGTATCTGTGTAATCTGTCTTGAATGAGTCCTTGCAAGTAAAATGGCTGGTTAAAAATCTCCTGCTGTCAAGTGTGGTTCTTTCTGACTAAGTAACATTAAGAGCGAAAAAAAAAAAATCTCCCAACACAATCTCTTAAAGATCTGAGGCCTTTTAAAAGTTAGCACAAAACTGATTCTTTTTTTTTTTAAGTATATTTGATCATCTTTTATTCAAATAAATGTTCACGGGCAAAGAAGTTTTCATAATAAACTGCTCGAGTTTCTTTTTTCTCCTCATATAAAATTAAAGCGCTACAGTGACTTGAACTATGTGATGTCTCCAGATCTGACACTTTATGTGTTGCTTTCAGCTCACAGCAAATCATTTTCCTCTTGACTGAACCCCAACAATTTTCCTAGGGTCGTATCGTGTCTGGTGGAGATTAATATCTCATTGAACGTGTTAATGAAAAAAAACAAAATCAGAGCTTCAGCTCCCCTGCAGTTTGCCATGCCTGTGAGGATCTGCTAACGAGCAGGATACACTGAGAGGCTCTTTAGAGACGGGGTAATTATGACTGGAACCAAATGACATGCAGTTCCAGAACCATGTTGTCTTCTCAGGTAATGTAGTATAAATCATGACCAAAGGATCACACTTGCTTTTACAGTTAATGCATTTGACCTAAGAGGGTGATTAGGGATATGCATTTTTTTTAAAAAGGGCACACAAGAGGCTCCTCATGTTTGTCACCTCCTGACATAGTGAAGTGCTTTCAGCTATTTTTTCCACTATTGAGCTCAAAAGTGTTTAATCCTTCGGGTAAAAAAAAAAAAAACAAGAAAAAAACGAGGCAGGAACATCGAAACAGCCATTTTGTAATGTCAGCTTGATTTTAATCTAAGTAAATAAATAAACGTAGTTGATTCCCTAAAGGTTTTTGTAGCTCAACATCTTATTCCATAAACTGTACAATATGTGACCACACTCAGTGCTGTCCATTGGTCTGGTAAATTAAAACAAGAAACAAAAGAAAGTTTTCAAGCAGATCTAAAACTAAATTGCAGAATTAGATAATGACATCAAATTAAATATATTTTTTACAGAATAACTTGCATGTCTTCAGCTTTAAGTCAAGTCAAAGTTCTTTATTGTCATTGGCATCACATGGGGTACATGAGGTGGAACAAAATTGTGTACACAGGGTCCCATCCAACAATAGCAAAAATATAAAGTGTAAAAAGAAACAGTAAATAAGGATCTAAGTTATAAACTAAGATATATGCTGAACGAACGCCCAACGGTACGCTAAAAGATCCAAGATATATGCCAGTCACTAATAGTGCAAAACAATATACCAAACAGCAGCACGATTC